GTTTCCGCCACGTCTGACGTGTACTTTGGACATAGATTCTATTTGAAAGTCCAATTTTAGCTTCAAACTGACAAATTTAAAACTGATAACTATTATTAATTTTGACAAATTATACCTGTTATTTATTTGACCCCTTTACAGGGTATATTTTAACGATTAATTAATCATTTAGTCCTATTGACAACCCCTCTATACAGGGAAAATTAGTTTTAATTTAAGACGTTGAATCCCCACTTTACAGGGATTCAGTACATATATTTGAGAGCCAGGTGCTCCACTTACTTTCCTCTCCCCCCACCACTATGTGCGACACCACTCCTGAATCGCCGGCCCCTCCTAATGCGGTTCGGAGGCTGTTTCCCGACATAGAGAAGCAGCCAAAGAAGCAACGCAGCGCGGCCCTAGCAAATTGTGACCGGCACGACATGAACAAACCGCTTGAAAATAGGTCCCCTGGGCTCGCACCCTCTCCGAAATCCCCTCAGCCAGCTCCTAGATTTGAGAACCGGACGGTGGAGGCGCGACACTGGCTAAAACAGGCAAAGTTTCAACTGGGTCTTGCGAGAAACCTTAAGACGGAAATCAAGACCCAGGCGATACTAGCCACTGAGCGCCTCTACCAGCTGGTAAAGGAGTCTGAACACCAGAAACTCCCTGGGGTCGGAGGGGTTGCGGTTCACGACTCAATGACGACGGCCCCTGTGCTGGAAAGAATGGGCAGAAAGGAGGACGACCTTATTTTGAAAATAGCCGAGCACAGTAAGCTTCTTGAAGCGGCCACCGTGCAAATGGGGGATTTGAGGGCAGCTCTCATTGATCGGCGGAGTATGGATGCTGCTTCTGTCGCCGAAGGCCACAGCGGCAAGGGCGTAGAGCTTCTTGCAGAGATGCAAGAGCTCAAGTCTGCAACCCGGGAGATCGGAAGACAGGTCTCCGAGATAAGGGCAGAAGCGCCCTCTTATGCGGAAGTCCTATCGAAACAGAAGAGTGCAGGGCGGGTTGCAAGACCGAAGCACTCTGTCGTTGTGTCCTCCGGCGATGCAATGGAGACCAGCGGCGATGTTGTGGGTCGGGTCCAGCGGGCGCTGAATGCGAAGGTAAGCGGTCTTCAGGTGGAAAAAGTCCGAAAAGTCAAGGACCAGAGGGTGGTGCTGAGCTGCGCCAGCAAGGAAGAACTGGAAAGGATGACGGCGCGGCTCCGCACTGACGGGCAGTTGCGGGTGGAAAACGCGCGTCAGCGGAATCCCCTCGTAATTGTCCGGGACCTTCTGGCCTACAACACCGACGAGGACATAAAGGCCGCTCTTAAGACGTAGAACGTGTGCCTGCTGGAGGGTCTGTCGGCCGAGGAGTCGGCCGTGACCATCAAGTACCGGAGGAAGGCGCGGAACTCTCTCGAGAACCATGTCGTCCTCCAGGTCTCGCCACGGCTGTGGGAGAGGCTGACCACGGCTGGCAGACTATATATCGACCTGCAGCACGTAAGGGTATTTGACCAGACTCCGCTGGTCCAGTGTAGTCGGTGTCTGGCCTACGGGCATGGGCGAAAAAATTGCACAGAGGAAGTGGACCTGTGTAACCAGTGCGGGGGGCCTCACCTCCAGGCGGATTGCCCTAGATCCGCCGAAGGGGTGGGACCGTTTTGCATTAACTGCAAAAGAGACGGACAAGGTGACACAGGCCACTCTATTTTCGCCCAGGACTGCCCTGTCCGCAAAAAGTGGGACGCCTTGGCCCGAGCGGCCGTCAAAATTTTTAATACAGCTTCAGCAACTTATAATCTACGATTTGGATAGGTTTTGGACTCAATAACTCCAGACGTTTCGCGAAAAATCCTCGCAATTGACCAAAATTTGGTGAAAAATCTCGTTGTTCATTCAAAACTTTAAATTATTTCAGGAAACCGACCCGGGATTTTCACTCAGTTGGACGGCCCGCGCCGAGACGCTTCTCCCGACATATCGCACGCCCCGATCGGATCACAAAATTTTTCAAATTTTGACCGGCCACCCGCCCTTAATATAGGAAAGGAACAAGCAAACCCTTTTTTGTAGCAAAAAACTTTTATTTGCTTAATTGACGGACCACACCTGTGTTATTAAATTTTAATGACCTAACCTAACCGGAAATCTCTTGGAAACCAAACAACCTAACTTAACGAAACGCCAGGCTCCTTCTCCAGCGGGCGGCGCCCGCGCACGACGCGGATGCCGCCCCCTCTCGGGACACTTCAACGTGGGCGACCGGTTGCTCCGACCGGCCGCCCCCTGCCCCATTAGCTACTAGGGAGGAGGAAGGAGGCGGGCACCCGGGCCTCCTCCGTCCCGTTCGCCGTCTCCGCGTTGGATGCGAGAGGGGGTCGTCCTCCCTCTCGCGCTCCGCTAGACGACCGCGAGGACCTCCGCCTCGAGGGCCCACGGCGGAGACCCGGCCAAGAGGCAGGCCGCCTCGTGCTCCACCGTACGGTGCCCCCGTATGACCCGCTGCGCCATGACCCTCTGCGGGCGGCGGACCCTTTCTGGGCCCTGTTCTGAGCCGCCAATGCGTCGACCCAGATGGGGGCACCGTAGGGCGCCATGGAGCGCTGAGGTTCCGATGAGTTTCGGGGCGAGCAGTCGAAAATGCTCCCGGAAGTCCCACCGTCTGTCGAGTCCAAGATACATCAATAAAATAATATCCTTATTATTTATTGAACTAACACTTAGGACTTAGGTACTCGGACTTAAAATAAAGGTTGCTTTCGATCCTTCTTTTTAAGCTCGAATCGATCGAAGTTATATTTTTTTCATGAAAAGGGTGCAACTGCAATAATATTTTATAAATTGGTTTTATACAAATAATGTAAAAAATGTCTTAATATGAATATTCTTTTCATACGAAAAATAAATTCCTTATATGACAAAATATAGATATAACAAAGTGTCCAATAAAAAAAAACACAATTGGTGACAATTTTTTTTATTTTACTTCTAAATGGTCTGGATTTTTGAAAAATAAAGTTATAGTACTGGCTGAATGTAAAAAAAGTTGAATTTTTTTTTTATTGATTCATTCCTCGAATTTCTCATTTTTGGCGGGAATAATATTGAATTTTGTTGTATGCTGTATATGCTGTTACGCTTTGTAAAAGGAGCACCCACCAATTTTTATGATATTGATTCTTCCTAGTGCTATTGATTAAACATGGATGTTGCTGATATTAATAAAGTGGCCAGTCGCAAAAGGATGAATACTGATGCGGAAAAGCTGCGAGAAAAAGTTTCACGTGAAACTGCTAAGATCATTAAACTGAAGGTGAATTTGTTTTTATATACCTATTATATTTCAAATCTAAGTAATGTGCTTTTTCCTATACTTTAAAAGAGACTTTTTAAATGCGTAACATCATCATAAAGGAGACCTAATCTGAACGAACAATAATGAAATGCCGTGGGTTTTCAAGGACTAATATTAGTTTTCAGCCCTGTGTAATTAGTTTTCGACTATAACTCGGGATATGCCAATTATCAGTCAGTCAGTAGTCAATTAATTCCCATAACATTAATTTGTCCCCGCTCTATAACGGGTTATGTATAAGTTTAATAATTTCAATACGAAGTGAAACTTACAGATTGTTGAATTTGTATTCCTTAAGTAACTGATATCAGGGATCACGAATTTTAAAGAAAAGATACTTTACATATTAGGTACAATTCGATTGGGCACAATCTGACCGTTAATCCACACGTACACAATTAACTTATTAAATCGCCAATTTTTAGCGAGCGACACCTGGAATTGATTTTTTTTATTCATTTTACGTTCAAGAACTTTACACTTACACTAGAATAGTTCCATTTTTACATGGCAAAGATCTGATGATTAATGATGAGCTTCCGAAAATTGTTGCTGCGACTAGTTCATTTGATTTTTTTTTTCAAATTATAATCATTTTTTCAAATCAATTAGTAATTAGGTATGAATATTCGAAAGGTACGAAAGAGACATACAGAGTTACACACTCTGTGTTTGGGTTTAAATTATTTGTATTGATGAGATATACCTAATCCGAGTGTGATTTTTATTAGCTGACGAGGAAGTAGGTAGGTAGTTAGTTCGAGTAAGTAGCTAAGTCTATCTTGTGTTTGGGCTTGATTAATGTATGTACTCAGTGTACATATATGTATAATAATTTTACACCCATGACCCACATGGGTGTAAAATTATTATTAGTACCTACCTAGTAACGGGTCTATAAAGGTGGCCATACACGCTAGGGTTTGCATGACGGTTTTAGCCGTGCATGCATAACCGACAGGCAAACCGGTATGTTAGGAGAAATAATTATGTTATCCTAGTTGTAAGCATTTTTGTAATTGGTTTTATTGAATGTAAGATTTTAACTTATTAAATTGTAAAACTTAACTTTGCATGCCGAAAACAGTAGGCGATGTATGTGGGACTATTTTTTATAATTATTACTACCTGTAATTACCATACTTCGTGCAAATAAACGTTCTTATTCTTATTCTTATTCTAACCCTAGCGTATATGTGATTCTGTACAGTTATCGGTGCATGTATGTACATGCAAAACCTAACGTGTATGCGTGGTATGAAATTCGGTTATGCTTGTCGGTTTTGCATGCAAAGTTATAACCATCATGCATAACCTAGCGTGTATGGCCTCCAAGTATATCTGACTCACTCGCGCTCGTGCCTCAGCCACTTATAATACTACCCTCACGTGTAGTAGTACCATAGTAACTACTAGTAGCACTGCAACCGGAATAATGTTAGCATACTCATAGATGTTATTGTTCAATATTAGGTGGCACAGGACACCGCGTACTGGGACCTGAAGGAGCGGCTGCAGCAGCTGCAGGGCGCGCACGAGCGCCTGCAGCAGAACATGGTGGACGTGCAGATGCAGCACGAGGCCGCGTCCGCGCACTACACGCGCGAGCTGCGCCTGCGCCCCGACACGCTCAACAAGTAGGTACCGTGGGGGCCCCGTATACTATGCCCGAGCCGTCTGGCCCGACACTGAGCGCGGGGCGTTGCAGGCTGGCGGGCGCGCGCGGCGTGTGCGAGGCGCTGGAGGAGTACGGCGAGCGGCTGCGGCGCTGCGTGGGCCGCGCGCGCTGCGACCGCGCCGCGCTGCAGGCCGCCTACTCGCAGTGCGGCGCGCGCGTGCGCCAGCTGGCCGCCGCCCGCGACGCCGCGCGCCGCGCCGGTATGTATGACGCCGACGCGACGGACCATCCCACGCGCCGCGTTGTCTCCGTAAAGGGATCCCTTCTTTGACATAATGTTCTTTGTCCTGATATACCTACTTCGGCATAACCATTTTGGCACAATATATTTTGGCCATAATAAAACTTGGGCATAATTTTTAGGCATACATTTTATGTTGGCATAAGTAATCATCTATAATGTAATCTCATATACTGGTAATTCTAAACATAGGTACTCAGGAACATCTCAATAACACTTTCACACGCTTCAGTTAGGTAACTGAAGCGTGTGAAAGTGATAGTGTACCTATCGCGTGGAGGTCCACGCGATACACTATCGCAAATTGCTACTACTCTATAAAATTTGACATTTGACACCTTTAAAAACAGTGCCTTTTCGTATTTTATTGTTTTATGGAACTCTAGGTCTGTATGTATCACATTGTATTTTAATAATTTTATTTGTAAGAGACTGTCCGTTTCCTGAATAAAGAAAAAATAAAATAAATATTAAAATAAAACTCTCTCTCCTGCAGCAGAGCAACTGCTCTAGTAGCGGTGTCCTTGTCCAATACACATTGAAAATCAGCCACAGCATTAACAATTAACTCACAAACCAAACAAAACTCTCACAACAAGCAACATTCAACGATTACTCTTAACTCACACCATGAACACAAGACATAAACTTCATATCACGTTTCTTCAAACTCTTCACTATTTCTGCTTACCTACTTAAATTAAACGCATTACAAATGACTTATGAACATGTTAACTACATAATCAAATGCTGAATTTTAGTAACCAATACCTCATGAGTTATTTCAAGACAAATATACCAAATTTTCGTTGGTGAGCCGTATTTTTTAAAGACTTCAAAAAAAGGAGGAGGTACTATGTTCGGCCTATTGTTTTTTTTTTGTTTGTTCGCGCATTACTCCGCCATTTGTGAACCGATTTCTATAATTCTTGTTTTGTTTGAAAGGTTATGTGTACTCCCGAGATGGTGCCATTTCCATGAGGGCAGGATCTGATGATGGGATCCTAGGGAAACCGAGGGGAACTTTTGAAAATTGTGGGGGCGAGTAATGCGTGTATTATGTTTTTTGATAAGGGTCTGGAGTCGACCTGATGATGGACTCGACCTGATGATGGACTCGACAGACAGTCGAGAGAACTCCTCAGCGGTTTGTAGCCGCACCGCACGACTACATACCTATACCTACCAGTTACCAGTACCACCGAATACCTTACCATATACCAGATACCTTCCACAATACCTTTACCAAAGTTATAGACTCACTTCGTTTAAAGAAACAAGAAACCAATTGTGTTGAAAAAGACAGTTTACGTTTTGACTCCGTTTTAAGAAACCAGAAACCAATTGTCTTGAAAAAGACAGTTTTCGACTCTCATGCATAGAAACAATAATCATCACTGCGGCAACAGCGTTATCACACCGTGCCGCGAGCGATCGCTTCGAAAGAAGCGGTTTGGTAAAGCAAGCAGCCAAGCAGCGCAAGCGGAGCCGGAGCCGGAGGCCGGAGCACTTGCATTCATCTTCATTCTTCATCTGTAGATAGTCTTCAGTTTTCATTCGACGCCGGCGCTCGGAGAAATGCGCGCGCTCGTAATAAATCATTCTGGTCAACACCTATCATCGGAGTTTTACTACTACTAGAAGAAAAGAAGAAACCTCCTCTAGGACACTAGGCTCTCCTACCTAGCTCCTAAAGGTTTATATTAACCACCTTGTGTTCGGACTTGATTAATTTGTATTAATGAGGACTTTACACCTAGATAGAGTGGGACTGTCATTTAAGGGTCTGATTATGAAGAAGTGTAATTGTTAAGGGAATTCCTCAACTGTATATAGTAACTACCTTGTGTTCGGACTTGATTAATTTGTATTGATCAAGGGCATTGCACTAGGCCCGGACGCGAGAGGTCGCCATCGCCGATCACTTCCCTGAGGGCACGGCGGTGCTCAGCCCACACAGGGCATTCCGCTACTGTGTGTTCCACCGTGTCCTCGTAGTTTTTTTGTGTATAGGTATACTTTTTCGGGATTAGGTAATATGTTAACGTTTTTTAATTATAGATGAGTGAGAGTATTACAAACGTAAGAATAAAAAAATATAAGCAGAAAGCTCTGAACTGCTAAGATATCTGGAGATACACGTGTTATTGTGAGTCAACCATAAAATATAGACATGAAGAATATTTCCGTCCTACATGATTTCTATGTTTTTTAAACATTACCATCGCATGTGCAGTCACATGCGACGGAAGCTTAAAACATAGAGCAACTTCTCCAGTTTTCCCAACATTACCCTTCACTAATAAAGCGTGATGGAGAGTATACTAGGTACAACCTCCCTAGGAGTATGAAGAATAATTGAACCAAGTTTCGTTAAAATCCGTCGAGTACTTCTTGTTTCAAGCCATCAAGCCAATCAGCAGCATATCTGATGTAGCTCGATGTGCCGCCTGAGATACATATATGTATACATATACTTATTGTAATTATGTTCTGTCGTTATATCTATTTGTGTGTCTAATAAATGTAGCTATGTACAGCTTATGAACAGTGAGTCGAGTCTTTAACCGATTAAACAGTATCAGCATAGAAGTACGCAGACCGAGCGAACAGTAGGATCGTTCTACTGACTGTACAGGGCAGCGGTCGGCGAGCCGCGAGAGCGCGGCGGCGCAGTCACTGGCGGACGCGCGCGAGCAGTTGGGGGGGGCGCGCGCTCGCGCACACGAGCTCGCCGCCGCCAGGGACGCGCTGGCCTCCCGCCTGCGACAGGTGAGTGGGGCAGGAGCGCGGCCGCGAGGCGGGGTGCACCAGGTGCCCAGGTGCAGCAGTTTGCCTGTTGCAGGCGGACGAGGCGGCGGCCGCTATGCGGGCCGACGTGTCGCGGCTGGTGCAGCAGTTTGACTCGCAGGCTGCGGATATGAAACAGAGCATCGCGCGGCTGGAAGATGAGTCAGTATCAATTATGTACTTACTTTATTTTATTTTACTTAACCTATAATTGAATTTAAAAGTCATGCCGCCCGAAATGAGGTCTTAATTATATATAGGTATATGTATGTAGTTTTGACTTGAGATTGGCATTAATATTCTACTGAATTTGTGCCGTAATAATATGCGAGTGTAAACCAATTTAGAAATATTATTGAATGCGATGTTTGAAATGCGTACCTAACGAACTGACGATGAAGTTTTAATGATGATGAAGTACCTATTTACGAACTGTAAATTATAAATATTATCGTTCTAAAGTCACGTACCTACCTATAAAGAATTTATTTAAACGTTAGTTACTTACATATCGGTTAGGTAATTAACCATAAAATATTGTCAAATAATGGTTTGAGAATGCGAAAGTATTATCTCGGTGTCGTCGTGATGGCCAAGTGTTAGTTCACAAAAAGCTGGCGGTGTACCTACAGGGCGCGCGCGGCGCGGCTCGAGGTGTCGGCGCGCGACGACCAACTACAGCGCGGCGCCGCCCTGCTGGACGTACGTACTGTAATACGATCATACCGTGCTTACGTTACTTAGCTCAAACAACTACCTGCCTGCTTAATTGAGATCATTACCGACGGTTAGTTCAAATTCACAATATACGTACGAATGACTCGAATACAGATTCAAAAATCATTAAGTACAAGAAAACCGTAAAAATAAAATCAGTAAGTAATTTAATTTCTTGTAACACCCATTTATGGGGAATCATTTTATTACCAAGACTATTTAAAAATATATAGGGTGTCTCTGGAAGTATGGATCAAATGGAACAAGGCTGTAGAGGAAGTAACTCCTTAACTTTTTGCTCCAGTAATGAGGATCCGATTTTTAACGGGTTAAAAGTTATGACCAGTTTTCGTTTTGTTTAGGGGCATTTCACGTGAAGCAGCCGTACATTTTTGAGTTAGAACGTCCAAAGCGCACCCAGGTCGCACTGCACGCTGCATTTATGCCCGGGCCACACCAACTAGAAATGCCATTGCTTATCGCGATAATGCACGTTTACCGTAGGTGTAGCCACGAGTCAACGCGATAATTTGACAACGGCCGGCATTGCCGTTTGGCATTATGGGCATTCACGTTGAAATTTCAAGTGTAGCCACATTTTATCACAAATATCACAATAGCTGTTTGTTAGTTTACATAACCTTACAATTGGAGAATTGGCACCCAAGACCGTTCTTCTTATAAGCGGTGGACACAGAGGAGTTATTGGACTGCGACGAAATCTCGAGGCGGCACGAAAACCAAGACGGTGCAATATTTGCGGAGAGTCAATCTGATTGGCCACCACTTTACACACAAACATTGTGTCACCAACGCGTCGGCGATTGTCTAGTGCAATTATTCCAAAATTTTCCATTCTATTGGTGTAAGAACGCACCCTTCTGAAAGTGCCAGCAGAGAACGCCATGTGCCAAAGAAACCTTTTTTGAAGGCGCTAGAGGTGCAGCGAGTGCGCTGAAAAGTGCGGCCGCCAGCGGCCAGACTACGCTATAATGTTCCAATGTGCCTTCCCCTCTTCCGTAATGAAGCTTTTATAAATCTGGTCATAAAAAACCTTGTAACGGGAACTATTTAGAACCGGTACATCGGAAACCAAACAGGAACCGATACCGGAACTAGAACTGTATTTAATAGAGGCAACCTTATAAGAACCTAAATGAGGAACCACAACCGAAATTGATACCGGTATTCAATCCGTGCTTTCGAACCCTTAAGAATCAAATCCCCATTCCCAGAGTTATGTTAAGGAATCGCCTCCTTTATGCCTCTACTAGATTTGATCTATACTTCCAGGGACACCCTGTCTGTTTAATTATAGTTGGTGGAAATATAAAAACTGATTCCAAATTCAAACAGGGAATATTTTATCTATTTTTTTATAATAATGTATATCGATAGGTAGGTATTTATGAATTATTTATTGTTATTTAGGAAGCTAAGAAAACTATTGAACATCTGAAACAGCAGGAAGCTCGACACGTGGATTTAATCGACCACCTAGAGAAAGATATCATTGCCAAGAATAAAGTAAGTAGTGACAATTTTTTGAGGTATTCATTACATACGTGTACCAATTTAGTCAGTTCTCTGAGTGATAATCAACTACTCGCCGGCAGCTCCAGCACAGCTCGAAGGAAGAAATACTTTCTATGCAACATTGTATAAGCAACCTCGAAGCGGAGAAGATCAAAATAAACGAAAAGTTGAACGAGACCGAGCAGGAGCGCGGTCGAGCACGCGACGCCCTCGACGAACTGACCTCAGTCGCCGAGCAGCTGCGCCGCGAACTGGACGACGCGCGCGCCCAGCTCGACTCTGAGCGGTGCGTGCACTCCTAGTACCACTAGCACTACACACGGCATGCAGTGACCGCGGCCACTCGCAGGGCCGCGCTGGGCGCGCTGCGGGAGGCGGCCGCCGCGCGCGAGCGCGAGCTGGACGCCAACACCGGCACCATCGCGCGCCTCATGGCAGACTTGCGCGCCGAGGCGGACGCGCGCGCCCGCGCCGACGCCGGCGCCGCCGCTGCGCGTCGCCAGCACGACGCCGAGCGCGACGCGGCGCGCCTCGCTGAGCTGCAGCTACGCGACGCACTGGCGCGCCTCGAGCGCTCCGTCCAGGACAAGGATCACGAGATCGCCGCACAGATGACTATCATTCTAGACATGCGCGGGGAGAAGGTAAGTACTCATACAAATAACACTTTAGTCAATAGAGCCATCATGTACTACCTTTACCCCGAATTACTCGAAAACGGTGTAAAAATGACGTCCTCTTCTTGCACCCTCTCCTATCAAACGTCTCCTTTCCAATAACTTATGTTAACTAGTTACAATTTGGAATTAACGAGAGAAACTTTCAGGCCGTCCAATGTTAAGTAAGAAATTATTTTACCTAAGTAAGTTGGATTACCATAGTATATTTGAGTTATTTGTACTCATACCCCAAAATAACAGAAATGTAAAAATAAGTTACAAAACTAGAACCAGACTACAAAAAAAACTCTAAATTTCTCAATCAAGAAAATTTTCTTAGAAGATAGCCGTGGTCGTATGCCACATTGCTCTACAGTACCTATTAATGGCAAATAACCAAGATTATTCTCCAAGCAAGGATAATATGAAAAAAGTTCAGGAATTCCTTACATCATACAACTTCTTTATCTATCATAATCATTTATTTCGAAACATTATCTGAATAACAAAACATAAAAAATATCGATTTCGAGTCGACAACATATATCCGCATAATTCGGATTACGGGGGTATTTATCTGGGCTTCCGGTAACTTCACTCACACTGGGCTCGCTGCCATCGCAGCGGTAAGTCCCCTCTTTGAGGAGTGGCTTAAGAGACGCTACGGCGTCCTCACCTACCGCCTGACGCAGGTGCTCACCGGACATGGAAGTTTCGGGAGGTACCTCTGTCTGATGGGGCGGGAGGAAACGCCCGGGTGTCATCACTGCGAGGACCGCCCTGAGGACACGGTGGAACACACTGTAGCGGAATATGCCCTGCGTGGGCTGAGCACCGCCGTGCCCTCAGGGAAGTGATCGGCGATGGCGACCTCTCGCGTCCGGGCCTAGTGCGGGCCATGATGCGGAGCGAGGGGGACTGGGATGCCGTCTCCTCCTTTTGCGAAGCAGTCATGCTAGCTAAGGAGGAGGCGGGACGCGTGAGGCAGCGAAGCGCTGCCTCCTCGCAACCCAGCCATCGCGAAACACACACGGGGCGTCGGGATCGCGAGACGATCTCCGGCCACCGTAAGCGCGGGCCTGCGGACGGCGAGCATGGGTGGCTCCCCGTCCGACCAGAAACAGACCCGAGCGTACGGCGCGTCGCGTTCCGCGCGCTCCTCAAAGAGCCATCAGACCACCACAGATGGGGCCCAATAGGGCCGATGCCGATTCGGAGTCGCGGAGAACCTAACGGGTAACCGGGGCTCCGGCTCGACGTGCAGGAGAAGGAACGGGTTGGTTTTTAGTCAGTAAGAGTCTGACACTCCCTTCCACCTCACCCAGGCGGGAGCAGTCACTCGATGATTTTCCCCCCTTAAAAAAAAAAAAAACTTCACTCACACGGCGAAACACAACGCAATTTTCCTTTAGGTAACCGAGGGCTGGGCTCGCTGTCATTGCAGCGGTAAGTCCCCGCTTTGAGAAATGGCATAAGAGACGCTACGGCGTCCTCACGTACGGAGGAAACGCCCGGGTGTCATCACTGCGAGGACCGGCCGGAGGCCATACATGGCGGCGAATCGATTGTGATGATATTTGTTACAGTCGCACAGTCGTAGAATATACCTTGGAAAGACTAATTCAAAAACCCAATTTATACCCCTTTATAAACTGGCACCTACCGTTAACAAGGAAACTTTACTCACAGCATATTACGGCCTTGTCGAGTCGGTACTGAGGTTTGGGATAATCTTTTGGGGTAATTCCACTCACAAGGATATAGTCTTCAAACAACAAAAACGTTGCATAAGAGCTATGTTCGGAATAAAAAGTATGGACAGTTGTAGGCCGCTATTTGGTGAATACAAAATTTTAACACTTCCGTCTTTATACATACTTGAAGTTGCATTGTTTGTTAGAAGCAACTTGCACTTGTTTCCGCGCTTATCCGAATATCATGTTAGAAATCGACGTAATAATAACATTTGCATTCATCCATCTAGAACTGCATTGTTGCACAAAAGCATATTATGTCTGGGTCCTAAAATTTATAATAAAATACCTAAATGCATACAAGCCTTAAATTTTAACATGTTTAAAAATAAACTCAAACGTTTGTTACATAAGAAATGTTATTATAATATAGAAGATTTTTTGAAGGATTTTTTGAAGGACTTGTAATACAATTAACATAATTTTGTTGTACCTGTAACGGTTAATATTGTTTAGGTTTGCATGTTTATATAATTATATTTTTTTTTTCACTACCTACTTTAATATTAAATAATAATTTTAAATATTTGTACGCCAAAACGGCATAACATGTAGCTCATACTCGTAACTTAACACCATTGCATGTACTCTTGTAATATTACTCATGTTAACGCAAATAAAAAATATCTTTATCTTTATCTTTATCTTTATCTTTATACAATAGTCACAATTTCACGCGGAAGAAATGTCATCACCGTTTTTTTGGTCGCCCACTTTACGTGGAATACCCATACCTATGACGGGGATCGGTTTCGGTCGGCAGGAGCGGCTGCAGGAGCGGATCCAAGGCATGCAGAATACCATCGACAACATCCAGAAAGAGCTGACGGGACGCTTGGCAGCTCCCAAAGTGGCGCCAGAGCAGTGCGAGCCTCCCGAACTGGACGACACGCCGGCCACGCGCCGCGCCGACGACACCGTGTTCGGGTTCCTCAGCGACGGCAGCGTGGACGGAGACACGCTCGACGTGAGTGTCCCGCTCGAGCGGCCCTAGAGCCCGTAGAGCAGTCGTACAGAGCGCGGTGTGTGCAGGCGCGCGAGGTGGGGCGCCGGTTCGAGGCGCTGCGCGGCGGCGGCCGGCTGCGGGCGGCGCAGGTGCGTCACTGCGGCGACTCAAATCTAAAGTCAGCCAGTCTATTCATTATCCACTTTGGATAGGGTGAAAAGTTTCCGGCTAGATAATGAAAATCAACTTAATTTAAAAAAAAATTCGCTTTTATTTTTTGACGTAATTCCCATCAAGGCTGATATATTTTTCGTAACGATGTTCCAAATACAGTTATGCCATTTTTAACGCCCGATTCGTCAAGTCCCTCAAAATACTCATTTACAGCATGGCTGAATTATTTACCACTAGCTGTTGCCCGCGACTTCGTCCGCGTAGATTAATGACTTCTGACAGAATTAATCAGAATCAATTCAGTGCCCAAGTAAGATTTACCTATTTTGAAATGATTTATGGTAGTTTCAATAAATAAAATATAATCCCCCACGGATCTTACCAGTGCAGTGCCCGATCACGTAAGGTTTGAGTAATAAAAACTATTCTATCAACTATTGTTTTACCGAATCTCTCTAAAATAAGTTCAGTGGTTAAGAGTTAGAGAGTCCTGGGGCATTGACGCATAGTTCCCGTTCCCGTGGGACATCTGTGATAAAAACTATCAAACGTTACCCAGGTCCCAAATCATCGTTTTACCGAATGTAATTCAAAACGATTCAATGATTCTAAATTCAATGGCTAAGAAGATTTATACAAACTCTCATTCCCTATTTTATCCCCTTAGGAGTGGAATTTATCAAAATCCTTTCTAAGGAGATACCTATGTCATAGTAACTTTATGCAGGCAGTCTCAGCCCGATCGGTTTTAAACTGGCAAAGTATCATACAAACTGTCACCCACTATTTTACCCACCTTGGGGTGAGAATGTTCAAAAACCTTTCTAAAGGGACGTTTACGTCATAATATCCATCTGCACGCCGAATTTCAACCCGATCGGTGTAAAACTGACAAAGCTACATACAAACGTTCATCCCCTACATTACCCCATTGGAGGTGGAAATGATCGAAATCCTTACTTGGGGATGCCTACGTCATAACATCCTGCATGCCGAATTTCATCTCCATCGGTGTAAAACTGACAAAGATTCATATAAACTTTCAGCCCCTATTTTACCCCCTTAGGGGTGGAAATGATCAAAATCCTTTCTTATAGCGGATGCCTACGTGATAACATCTATCTGCATGTCAAATTTCAATCCAATCGATTTAAAACAGACAAAGACTCATACAAACATTCAACCCCTATTTTACCCCCTTGGGGGTGAAAATTATCAAAATCCGTTCACAGCGGATGCTTACGTCATAACATCTATCTGCATGCCAAATTTCAACCCGATCGGTTTAAAACTGACAAAGTCTCATACAAACTTTCATCCCCTATTTTACCCCCTTGGGGGTGGAAATTATCAAAATCCTTTCTTAGCGGATGCCTACGTCATAACATCTATCTGTATGCAAAATTTTAGCCCAATCTGTCCAGCGGTTTGGGCTGTACGTTGATAGATCACTATGTCAGTCAGTCAGTGAGTCAATCACCTTTGAATTATACATGTATATGTTACGGTAAATCTGATTAAGTGAAAATTATTAATATTTTTACAAAATTATTAATAGTAACCACATGTTTTGGTAAATGTGAATAAACGATCGAAATTTATTACTTTTAGTAGTAATTATTAATAATTCACAACACATATTGGTAAAAGTTATAAAATAAATAAAAACCCAATGTTTTTTGACCGGCAGGTATTTATTTATAATATTAAAGACAGTCTTACAATTATATTAATTAGAGATCACACAAACTTTGTTACTTGTACTTGCAAACAAAGCAAGAAAGTCTTTCGTGTTACATAAAATTGTAACAAAAATAAAATTAAACAATTATTAATGTTTCATTAACAAAATCAATACGAATCCTAAAAGCAATCATTAACAATCATATTTGGTTTGCCTGTAAATCTTCTGTAGCACCTATAAATGCAACAATTTAATTTTTAAAAGTATTAGGTATCATAGAATTCAACAAATATTTGTTGTACAAGTAAAATATATTGCTATTTAAATTGCAATGAAAATAACATCAAAATAAAACAATTAAAGACTCATAAAAAAAAGAAACCATAAATATTATTTATTTTTGCAAGAAAGACTTTTATGGCACTTAGAATTGCAAAGAACGTGCATTTTTTTGCATTTGCAGCGATTAGAGTTGCATTCGCCAGTACAGTTACAGTGTTGAATGCCCCCCCCCCCAAATTTGAGTCCTTGCGAGCACAATCTCGCCCCGCAACCCTTGGCCACTTATTACATTTATCACTACTAGGGTTAAATTATTAATAAAAACCGACAAATGTGATTAATTTATCACTTTAACCTCGAGTTTTGGTAATTATTAATAATAATAGATAATTATTAATAATCTTCAATTATTCACTCTTACCGTAACATATATATGTATAAATAGATTAAGCCATTTATTGAGGTTAGGGAACAGATGATAGTCGCTGGGGGCTAAATCTGGTGTATAAGGTGGTTGGAGGAACAATTAAATTCGTTGATTTTTGCCATCGCAACGACCGACGAATGAGCATTGTGGTCATTGGATTGGTCAGGAACATTGTCATGGTCAAACAAAATTTTTTTTTCTTCGCCAATTGGGGTCGTTTATTTTTCACTTCGTCCTTCAAACGTTCCACAGCAACTTTTGCTAGTACTGACCATTGATGGTTTTTCCTTTCGCTAAATAATCAATGAAGATTATTCCTTTCGCATCCCAAAACACAGTCGCCATAACCTTGTTGGCCGATAAAATTGTTTTCGATAGAAACAGTTTCCCGGGTCAATTTTTGATCGACCGAGCCAAAAATTTGACCTGCTAGCGCTATTTCTAGGTTAGGCCGGAAACTTTTCACCCTACCCTGGTATACCATTACCTAGTTTATTGCTGTCGTTACGTACATACACACAGAAGCCTACCGTAACGTTGGCCAAATTCGAAGAAAAAGAAGTACCTAGGTAGGTGAAACAAAGCGCAGAACGCAATTATATACTTTGACTCTTAAGGTGGCCATACACGCTAGGTTTTGCATGATGGTTTTAGCCACAGATATAATAAAGAATATTTCTGTGGTTTTAGCCGTGCATGCATAACCGATAGGCAAGCCCTAGCGTGTATGGCCTCCTTTACGGTTACAGCTAAAACCCCGTACCTACGGTTCAAAAATCTTGTGAGAAAAAAATGTGAGCTTGTACATGACACAGCAAAACCACCGGGCGAGATATCGGCCAAGGACAGTAGTGTTTTATCTGGAAATCCGTAACTGCCCTCCGATTTACTTACAGTAGTAGGTACTTCATACCTCACCCTTGGACTTTTCTCTCAACATGAACCTACATGCATTGTAGATTTGCAACCATAAAGATATAATAACATAACCAGCTACTAACCATAATGACTGGTCATTATATTACAAGGACTTAATTTTATTAAAGAAACGATATTTTCATTTAACAGGGTTCAATTTCGCTGTCACAAGTTAAAGATGACTTGAAAATAAAAAATCGGTCGTTTTTTAAAACCAAACGTTTCGATAGTAAGACTAAGAAATACAAGTAATAAGTGCCATCGACAACTTCATCTAGTATAAAATAATTTGTTTTATTATTTTATTACAAATATCTAACTTACTTTCCTTATTGATTTGTTTTACATTAAATACCTATCCACATAGTAAATGTGTTTCATTGCCCGTTTCTGTCGTTTATTGTTACGCTCTACAATAACGCAAGGTATCATGAACATTTATAGGTATAGTATTCCACAACTCTAAGGACAATCCGCCAAGCCCAAAGGACAGTCATAAGTACAAACTGACCGCGAGGCAACCTGGACCGCGTACATTTGAGTTTACTCCAACTTGTTTAAACGTCTCCTTTGTCGAACATCATGTTTCAATTATTATGTTGCAAAGTTAAAACATGATGTTCATTATTATTTATTATTAATAATTATACATAACAAATGTATAGGTACATAATACATATATACCTACATAACATATGTATAATAGGTATCTTTATGTACATACATTATGTTTATACCTGTGTTCTATACTTAACATTCAGAATTTGACGTAAGTCAAAGTCAAAATCATTTATTTCAATTAGGCCAGAATGGCACTTTTGAACGTCAACAAAAACAAAAATTTAAAGTGAAGCTATTTGCTCATTCCAAGGCGTAGATTCCTATTGAGAAGAACGAGCAAGAAACTCCATACAAGACTAGTATCGTGGGTGCATCCAGTAACATAATTATATTTTATTACGTGCGGAATCAAACAGCCACCACGCCAACCGGGCAGTGTTCATTCTCTTAGGTACTTAATATTATTCACTTTATTTCAGGATAGATAGGAAGGTAGGAAATAAAAGCAATTTTCAACATCATTTCGCCAAGTTTGTAATAGCTAGCAAAGCAATGAGTAGAGCGGCGCCAGGCGCGAGGCGGCGGCGGAGCGCTGGGCGCGCGGCGCGGGCGGCGACACGCGCGCCTGCACGGCGGCGGGGCGCGCGGCCGGCGCGCTGGGCGCCGCCGCCGTGCTGGCCGGCGTCGTGCGAGGCGGCGGCGGCGCGTCCTCTCCGCCGTAGTCGGCGCCGTTCTCGCCATACTCGCCCGCCTTCAAGTACACGCGTGAGGATCGCTCGGGTGCACCCTAGAAACACCCGGTCGCAGCACTGCGGCGCCCGAGAAGAGGTCTCGCTGTGGCCGCGAACGTTTACCTTGAAGTCGGGCCGGTTGGGCTCGAACTCGAACGCGGGCCGCGCCGACGGCTGCGACGACACCGGCTGCGCTGGCTCCGTGCTGGACGGCGGGGGCTGGCTGCGGGTGGGCGGCGTCGCGCTGGCCGCGTTCATAGACCGCGGAGCTGTGTATAATATACAGTGTCCCTGAAGTCCACGTTCAAATGACACCAGGTGATTGATAATGTTCCAATAGTTCCAGAAAAATATAAAAAAGTAAGTCTACACAATTATGTCATATATTATGTAGCTTAAGTTCATATAGCATCGACGCAATATGTTGCACAGCATGTTACTTGTTTCCATGCACCGACATGTTGTTTAGTGAGACGTGATCCATAACATTTGTTCGTCTAGCGACAATACCTATTCGCCGATTTCCAACATGTTTAACGACATGATGGTGACATGCTTAGGTGCGCTTTGAGTACACTAGAATAAATGTTAGTAAGTCCAAGGCTAAGTACTCAGGCTAAGGACTCACGAAGCGATTTTTTCCGGCGCCCGCCGTGATTGCGGCCCCGCGGCCTTTGTAGAATAGATACAGATATGTACATATGTAAAAAATTAAAGCACATTTCACGGCGCGTTTTACGCTAGCGTATGTTTGCGGCTCCCGCAGCACGAGCGGCCGCGGCCCCCAGCAGGGGCGGGTTAACCCGCGCGCTCCGCGATCGGTTGGCGGGCATTCGCAATGGTAGGGCTGCCAGTCTGGAACTCAATAGATTGCTCCACCGTGTCCTCCGGGCGGCCCTCGCAGTGATGACACTCGGGCATTTCCTACCGCCCAATCCGAAACAAGAACCTACCGAAAATTCCGTGTGCGGTAAGCACCTACGTCAGGCGAGGTAGGTGAGGACGCCGTAGCGTCTCTCAAGCCACTCCTCAAAGAGGGGACTTACCGCTGCAATGATAGCGAGCCCAAGAGTCGAAAGAGTGGATAACACATAAGTCATTGTTTGTTTTTGATGGAATAAGCCGGTAAACGAGCAGACGGATCAACTGATGGTGAGAAATTGGCGCCGCCGCGCCCATTCACTGAAACACCAGAGGTTTTGGAACTTGTAACACCGGCGTGTGCGTTACCTTTTGCGGATTAGAAATTTAAGGATTGGTGGGATTTGGAAATTGGGGAGCTGGGAGAGGGGTACTTGGTCCTCTGGTAACCTCACTCATAACCTGTTTCACGTCGGTTTTATATAAGGCCGTGATATCACTCCGGTCGAGCCGGCTCATTTGAGCCAAAGCATAGCTCTCCCATAGTTTTTAAATTAATGACTATAGTTTTAAAATAATTTCCCTTCCAGTCTCCCTAATCCCCGAATTCCCCACAATCCTCAAATTCCCAATTCCAAAAAGCCAGTAATGCACTTTTTAGGCTCCTTGATTGCTTAGCATCAGGTGATCCGTCAGCTCGTTTACCGGCTTAACCCATAAAAACTAATATTTAAAAAAAAATATATAAGTAACTTAGATTTTTTTATATAATTCTGATAGCTGTTGGAACCTTGTTGATCATCTGGTGCCATTTGAACTTCGACTTTCAGGGACACCTGTATACGTTACAATTTACAAAAATATTTATCGTCGATTTATAATATCTTTTCTTTCTTTTTTTTTTCTTTTTAGATTAAACGTTGCCCCACACTAGGATTATATCAATTTTATACTCTTTATCTCTTTCTCATAAAAACAACACACACACACACGTCCACACAGATACACCCATACATATTTTTATACCTATACAATACACATATATTATATTTTTCATTTAGGAACAAGCATCGCTCGCTGTAATAATAAGTGAAGAAATTTTACAAGGGGAAACAGCGGGCAGAGAAGTCGTTGGTTGAAAGGTCGGCGTCTCGGCATCGGGCGGCACGTCGGGCGCGGCGTCGATTGCGGCGGCGGGCAACGCGTCACCGGCGGCAGGCAACGCTGCACCAGCGGCGGGCAACGCGTCACCGGCGGCGGGCAACGCGTCACCGGCGGCGGGCAACGTGTCACCGGCGGCGGGCAACGCGTCACCGGCGGCGGGCAACGCGTCACCGGCGGCGGGCAAAGCGTCACCGGAGGCGGAGAAAACGTAACCGGCGGCAGACGGTGCGTCACCGGCGCCGCGTGCCTCGCCCTCCGGCATCGCCAGCAGCCGGCGCTCGCTGCACAGCGCCGCGCACTCCCCGCCGCGCCCGCACGCGCGCAGCGTGTGCGCGCAGTGCAGGAAGCGGCGCCAGCGCGCCACGCTCTGCGCCACGTGCGTGTCGCCGCACGAACTGTCGCGCGACTCCGCCGCGTCCGCCGCCTCCGTCTCCGCCGCCGTCGGCTCGGCGCTATCTTCGGCGGCGCGCGCCGAGCGACTCAGCACACCGCACAGCTTGCCCTCGCACACGACTCCCGCGCCCCAGTCGCTCTGGCACAGCGTGGGGCCCACCAGACACAGCGCCGAGTCGCGCAGGCCCGGCCAGCCGCTGGCGCGCTCGGCGCACGCGTCGCCCGGCACCAGCGTGGCGTCCACGATGCGCAGGCGCGGCGTGCGCGAGCCGGCGCGGGGCAGAGCGCGCACCACGTGGCACACGGCGCGCGGCGCGCACTCGCTGGGCTGCGTGGCCATGAGGATGGGCCGCGAGCGCGCGCCGCCTCCGAAGGGCGCCTCCAGCTCCAGCACGGCCAGGTCCATGGCGGCACCGCCCCCACACGTCGGCGCCGCGCGCCGCGTCCGCGTCCGCGCCCGCCGCCAGCGCCACGCGCGCCACGCGGCGCACGGCGCCGGCGCCGGGCGCCAGCGCCCAGAGCTCGCGCGGCTGGGCGCGGCCGGCGCGCGCGCACCAGGCGGACGTGAGCGCGGTGCGCAGCGACACGAGCGAGCCGCCGCAGTGGCGCCCGTCCGCGTGCTCCACCACTATCTGCGGGACACGTCGCGACGACATCTACACTCTAATATACCTCGTGTGTTCATAAGTTTTGAGACAAATTAAAAGTTGCATATCTTTTTAAATAATAAACTTATATTTATAAAAACAATAACAAACATTAAGTAGATAGTAAGTAAAAATTAAATATAATTATTATTCAAAATGACCACCCCTGTTTTTAATACATGCCCTTAGACGATTTGGCCAGTCATCAATGGCGGCACGAATCTTTTCCAGAGGAATTCGCTTCGCTTCTCGGACAAGAGCTCGCTTAAGTGACTCCAAGTTTGGGTGGGACTTTTGGCAGGCTCTGAGCTCTAATTCAGTCCATAGAGAAATAATCCAGCGGGTTGAGGTCGGGGCTGGAGGAGGGCCATTCGTTCGCCGCAATGAAGGCCGGCACATTTTCCTTCAGCCAAGCTTGGGTGGTTTTAGCCTTATGGGATGGCGCCGAGTCTTGCTGGAAAACCCAATACTTGTTATGGAATAGGGTATTAGACAGGGGTTTCACAACAGTCTCTAGAATGTCACTTTGATAATTTTTGGCTTTCACCTTGACGCCTTGTTGGCAGAAATGAAGCTGAGTGACACCTTCGTACGAAACTCCCCACCATACCATGACACTAGCCGGATGATGAGTACGCGAGACATTCCGTGCTGAAGGTGGGACATCCTTGCTACTTTTGGCATACACTTTATTGTTTTGTCGATTGAACTTTTCTTCGACGGTAAAGATTTTCTCGTCGGTGAAGAGTATCTTCCTCGCATCGTGTCTCCTAAGCAGTATTGGACAACGTTCGCGTCGCAATTGACGAAGGCGATCGTTTAAAAAGTGTACTTTTCTACGGCTATACGCCTTATCCTTGAGATCATATTTCAGTATTCTGTTGACTGAAACGCGCGAAATATTGGTCTGCAGAGCGAGTTTCTTCTGAGTGCGACATGGATTTCGGCGAAGTCGCTCTCGGATGATTTTAATGTTCGCAGGCGTCCTCACAGAGCGTGGACGACCACTTCTTTGCCGATCATGTAAGGGAGCGTTCAAGTATTACGTAACGCAATTTGGGGGGGCGGGGGGGTCTCGTAAAACGTTACGATGCGTTACACGGGCGGGAGGGGGTCCTTCTTACAACACGTTACGTAACATTATTTCTTTTTTTATATAAAAAAATAGGGAAATAAAACTCCCAAATTGGCAACCCTTTTCGTTTACGTTTTACGGGGAATCTCTCGATTGTATTAGTCTGGTCGCCATTTTTAATTTGTTCTCGCATGTTGGTAAACCTTTTCGTTTATATTTCACGGGGAATCCCTAGATTGTATTGTACGTCCACTGCACTGCACTCCAGGTGCCAGTGATGAAAGAATCTGAGTGGCTAGCAAACCCGTGGACAGAGGAGCAGTAATTTCAATCGAATTGTTTTTATAGACCTACTTAGATACTTGGTTAATAGTTGATTATTTTTTAATTTTGTTAAGAATACGATTTTATTTCGAGTAAAATGTTTAATTTCAGTTGGGTTTCTGTTTATAATTGCATTGCCAAAGGTTAAAATAAATATGTTATTTTATTTGAAGAATTTATTAGTAAAAAAGCTAAAATACTTAGGAGAATGAAGGAGAAAAACAATTGTGTTTTGTAAAGCCAAAAATTTATAAAAAAATAAACAAAATACGCAGGTGTTGCGAATTAAAAATCTCTTGTTTTATTATAAGGCAATTAAAACTATACGAAGGATAAAAACTATAACAACTTTTTGCGACTTCAGGGTAAAAATGATGACTTGAGTGTTACGTAACCTTAAGAGAGGGGGGTGGGGGGGTACAGAAAAACGTTACGGAGCGTTACAGTGGGGGGAGGGGGGGTCAAAAATCTTCAAAAATTGCGTTACGTAATACTTGAACGCTCCCTAAAGAACTTGTCTCCTGGTATCGTTTAATAGTGTAATACACGAAGTTACGGCTCACACCAAAACTTTTCAGTTCTCGGAAAATGTCCATAGGTTTTCTTCCCATCTTAAATAATGAAATGACGGTCGCACGCAATTCTTTTGTTCCCTCCATTACGAGAAAATTTAAATAAAATAATCCGAAATCATAGATATTAACATTCCAAATTCAAAATTAGAAAAAGAAATATACAGCAGCCAGTAATTTTTATTTTATTTTTATAAGCAAAAAGTTTGTCTCAAAACTTATGAACACACGAGGTACATCCCTATGGCAATGTAAGAATAATGGAACCTCGAGTAAAAATTTTAAAATCGCGCATTGTAGTAAAAGTGGCCTATAGGATGACATTCACAAAAGATTATAATAGAATACATATAGACGTCTAAACAAAAAAAGTGAAAAATCTGAAATTGTGGTTTTATTATAATACAAACACCTTAAAATGTTTTTTTGCACAAACAACTGTATATTATCGGTACTAGGTTCTTTGAAGCCTTGGTACTTGACAGAAACGAAGTACCATAACTTAGAGCGAGATATTTATTAATGTCAAACCAAGCAACCTGCTGTTTTGCCGGTAACGAAACCATAGCTTCAATTTTAATCGGCCAACGCCATCTATCCAGTTATGGGACAACTCACACTAAATTAATTTTAATAGCCAGCAACGCCATACTAGCTTTGGCCGAGTGTATTTTTAGAAAGATTATTTTTAGGTATATTTAACGCATACATACATACGACATACTGTTTATTATCATCTCATACCATAAATGGAGCTGAGTCACTTTCGTCTTCTTGTTCAGCCTCCCTCTCTTCCGCCACAGCTGAAGCATTCGTCGTACTGCTCTCTGATGTAAATATAACATTAATATATTTATTTATTCATAATTCACGGAGGACTTACAGCTTATAAAAATGGATAAAAATAACAATAAGCGTAGGTAACAATGAGCCAATTACAAAGTCCTCACGTTTAGGATTTTGAATAAATTCATTAATATGGTGTGAGTACTACACAATATAAAAAATACATATGTATATTCTGCGTGAATGAAAAAGTTAGATATTGAAACAGACCATGCAGACAATTAACAGACCAAGAGAAACATTAAAAAAAACTAGGTAAATATCCATTGCTGCTTAAAAAATTTGAGGCTTAAGCACCTCTTTGCCGAGTTCATACTAGTTGTAAACGGATCGAAGTCATATGCTTACAAACATTGAAGTGTCTGCTTGCACGCACAATGTAACTGTTCTGCCTGTAGTTAGATGAGGGACGGGATACATAGAACCATTGAACCTATTTGGTTGAAATTTGGTTTAATGATAGTTTGAGACACAGGAAAGGACGTATGATAGTTTTCATCCCGGAAATCCAATGGGAACGGGAACTATGAATTAAAATCCCGGACTCTCTACCTTTTAAACCAGTCTATTTGAGTGAAATTAGGTTCAACTATAGTTTACGATCCGGCATTCCCGGGTAGCCTCGGACATACTGATGACATGACGCTGATCTTCGGAACTAGTGGTCCGAATCGAAAAAATGTTTTTATGTTGCATAGTCCATTTATCAAGGAAGATTATAGACTAAGGATCGCGCTACAATCAATAGGAGCTGAGTAGTGCAGGTGAAACCAAGCGAGCGTAGCTACTCGTAGCGCCCGTGCGCCCGTGATACGACGGAGTGAATGGAGCCGGCCACGCACCGCGCGCGGCGAGCGCCGCCGACACCAGCAGGGCCAGCAGCGCGCTCCTCATGGCATCGTCCGTCGGCAGCTCGGGAACAAACACTATGCGGCCACGTATCGCACCTCGCCACTCGCCTTACATTACAAATAGCCTTGTAAACATTACGCTCATTTTCATAATAAAGTCAGCGTCAATAACAGTCATGACATTTGCGTCACTTCTGAACTGAAAGAGTTTGATAATCCAGCTTTATATTTCTGAAACCATAGATATGGTACAAGAAGGCATCACGTACACGTGGTTCTGGCTGTTTCTTACTTATAATCACATAATACGATGTGACGATGCCTGATAATACAACTAAATTTTTTGTTTTGCTACAGAGTAAATTTGTTCACAAAAAGTAGAAGCATCTAAATCAAGGCAATGATTTATATACCATGTTCAATTGGAAAATCAACATCCAGTATTTGCAAGTCAGGTATGTATCTGTTCCTACGTAATAGAGAGTTAACATATTGCCACACACCAGGTATAAGTACAGATTCCGTTCTAAGTATTTGGATAATAGTTGAATAAGCGACTTGATTTAGGAATTGCACCCGAGGATACTCGCTCGGAGTCGGTACTCGCTAGTCAGCTAGTCGTTCCCCAATATTTATTATACCTACTCTTTGGCCAGTCGGCCAGTACGACTGCACTTGCAACTATTCGTCGCACGATATACTCTATTTTTATTTATTTAAAAAGGATCTCTAACAGAATACACGTAACATACACAGTGATAATGCAAAAAACAGATATCTTCTAAGCAGTTTACATTTTCTACTGGCTCCATTATGCTGTATTTTTGTGTTCTATTTTGTTTTTTCCATGTAACCTTTGCATCTTTCTAATTTCGTTTTATCCAAACATGAGGAATTGGAATTGGTTCACCGCTACTTATGTTTATTTTTGTTCTTAATCGTGTTTAATTGCTGTAAGTTTTGCATTGTCTATAAATGAATAAATTATTATGTACGATCTTACTTGTACAGTGATGGGAATATATATGACTGGTATTTTATTACAAAAACAAAAGGAGTCGAGTCGAAAGATTTTATTGTAAGGCATCATGACGACTGCGGCGGCGCGGGCGGCGTCGGGGCGCCGGGGGGCGCCAGTTTCTCCAGTAGTGCCGGGGCGGCCTGCGACACCAGTCCCCCCAGTAGCGCCGGGGCGGCCGGCGGCGCCAATTCCTCCAGCAGCGCATGCGCCCGCAGTTGGCGCTCCAGCAGCACGTCGGCCAGCGCCGCCGCCTGCGCCGGGCAGGCCGCCGCGCCGCGCACCACCAGCCACTTGTGTTGCGGCAGCGCCTCCAGCGCCGCCAACAGCGCCGCGCCCGGCCGCGGCCGCTCCGCGCGCGCCTCTGCCTCCAGGCGCGCCGCGTGCAGCAGCGCGCCGCCCGCGCCGCCGCGCGCCAGCCGCGCCGCCAGCCGCGCCACGCGGGCGGCCGGGCGGGCCGCCAGTCCGCGTCCGCGGCCTGCAGCAGCGCCGGCAGCAGCGCGGCCAGCGCGGCGCGGTGCGAGGGCGGGGGGCCGGAGCGCGGCGAGGCGCGCGGCGAGCGTGGCGTGGCGCGGCCAGGCCCACAGCGGCGCGCCGCCGCTGGCTGTGTCGGCATTCATTACATACACATTATTACAGTGGTCATCACAGTACAAGAAAAAATGCTTGTTAAAGAGATTGCATGGGTGATTACTTCTATGGATACAAATAAAAATTACATTTATTTATTTATCCTTACTTATAATTATTATAAATCGGAAAGTGAGTTTGTTTGTTTGTTCCACTATCACGCTGTAACTACTAAACCGATTGCTTTGAATTTTTGCAGACGTGAAGTTAGAAGTCTGGATTAAATAATAGGGTACTTTTTATCCCGGAAAAATTTGATATTCTCGAGGGAAAACGAAATTATTGGTATAGATGGCGCTGTGTGTATTGGTATATCAAGGTCACATAGGCTACTTTTATCCTTTTGTGACGCGAGCGAAGCCGCGGGTAAAAGCTAGTTTATTTATAATTCATGTTTAAAACAAACAAAACATTATTAAGTTAGTAGTAACATAAGCGCGCGGTACCACGACACCTGCATCAGCGCGGTCGCGCGGGGCTTCGTCGACGGCCTAGTACGGCGTACGGCGCGCATATTAGCCTGTTTACGTGTAACACAAATAGTGGAATAACTTTAGAACGGTAGCTTTTTTTAAAATTATTTTTTCGTGATTAATTATGGAATAAATGTTTCAACAAAACCTTACATTTCCTGCAGCTATTTTATTAAAACCTTATATAAGTGCAAAAGGCGTAATTATTTAAAGACTGCATTTACAGTACCTCGGTCACAATAACACAAGTGTGTGTACCCACCGAGCGCGATGAATGCGTTGTGCGGGAACAGCGGCGCCAGCACGCGCGCCGCCCCGCCTGCCCCCCCTCCCGCGCCGCCGCGTGAAGCAGCGCGCACCCCGCTGCTCCCAGTAGCGGCCCGCGCCGCCCGCCGGCCCCGCGCCGCGCGCCGCCTCCAGCACCGCGGCCAGCAGCGCGCCACGGCGCTGCGGGCCGCACATCGCCGCGCGTGCCGCCGCCCACTCGGCCGGCGCGGGCTGCAGCGCGGCCAGCACGGCGTCGACCGGCGCAGGCGGAGGATCTTGCTCCAGGCGCTGGCAATGCTCGTCGGCGACGGCCAGCGCGGCCTGCAGCAGTCGTGCGGCGGGGCGCGCGGCCAGCTCGGCGTCGGACGGCAGCGCGCGGCCCAATGCGGCGCAGGCCGTGGCCCACTGGCCGACCGCGTCGTCCTCGCACACCTCGCATACTACTCTGTGACAGTTAATCATTTTTTCTCAAAAACAAAACGGTGTAGTGTGTAAGTAGTGTAAGTTAGATATTAAAACACTTAACTATAGATATTCCTAACAGTAACATGTCTCCCTCATTGCTCAATATTGTTATTTCGTGTAAACCACAACCCGCACATACACATGCAAAACATTTTAGAAGTTAGTTTTGTTGGTATTGCATGGGACGCTGTATCTTAGACGGCAGGCCGCACCTGGCGACGTAGAGCCGACAGTGCGGCGGCAGCGCGGGGTCGGCCAGCGCGGCGCGCAGCGCGGCCAGCGCGGCCGGGCGGCGGGGCGCGGGCCGGCCGCGCGGCGCTCCAGGCGCGCCACGTGGGCGTAGGGCAGGGCGGACGCGGCCCAGCGCTTGACGGCGGCGCGCGCCTCGTTGCGGATGCGCTGTGCCTCGCTGCGGCCCGCCTCGTCCTGCGCGCGACTATTTTATACTACTATTGTTTGCGTCAGGGAAGTAACAGAGGTAATTATATCGGAATGGAAGGCGGAATCGGAGATTTTATATTTGATATATCGGAATCGGAAACGGAAGCGGAGGTAGGGTCAGAAGGGGTGGCAGAAGAGACATATTTTATTTAACGACATTAAACATTATTCAGTTAATTAATTTAAAAATTAAAATTTATCACCATTTACTTTAAACCCAGTTAATAACAGGGCGGGCACAGACCTGTAGGTCCAGCAGCAGCAGTAACGCGTGCAGCCAGCGCAGCCGCCAGCACAGCATGGCCTCGCGCCACTCGCCCGTCAGCCACTCGCACGCCGCGTCCCACAGCGCGCGCACCCAGCGCAGGAACCCGCCCGCCGCCGCCAGGTAGTGCGGCGGCTCCACCAGCGCCTGCACAAGCCGCGCCGCGCCCGGCCCGCGCGCCGCGTGCGTCGCCGGCAGGCGCCGCGCCGCGCGCACCAGCGCCAGCATCACCTCGGCGCCGTCCGCCTCCGCAGCATCACCCAACGCGTCGCCGCTGGCATCAGCCGCGCACAGCACGTGCTGGCCTAGCGGCAGCAGCGGCACCTTGGCCAGCCGCAGCGCCTGCAGCACCAGCAGCGGGGCCGCCGCGCCCGCTGGCTGCAGCAGGTGCGCCACGTCCGCCGGCACCGGCGCGCGCTGCGGGTCCTCGGCCGGCACCGCGCCCGCCTCCACCGCGCGCCAGTGCACGGCGGCCCGCGCGCGCTCCACGCGCACCCACACCGTGCTCAGCGGCAGCCCGCTGCACACCACCTGCACACACACACACACTCACACACCCACACCGTGCTCAGCGGCAGCCCGCTGCACACCACCTGCACACACACACACACACACTCACACACCCACACCGTGCTCAGCGGCAGCCCGCTGCACACCACCTGCACACACACACACACTCACACACCCACACCGTGCTCAGCGGCAGCCCGCTGCACACCACCTGCACACACACACACTCACACACCCACACCGTGCTCAGCGGCAGCCCGCTGCACACCACCTGCACACACACACACACTCACACACCCACACCGTGCTCAGCGGCAGCCCGCTGCACACACCTGCACACACACCACACTCACACACCACACGTGCTCAGCGGCAGCCCGCTGCACACCACCTGCACACACACACACACTCACACACCCACACCGTGCTCAGCGGCAGCCCGCTGCACACCACCTGCACACACACACACACACACTCACACACCCACACCGTGCAGCGGCAGCCCGCTGCACACCACCTGCACACACACACACACTCTCACACCCACACCGTGCTCAGCGGCAGCCCGCTGCACACCACCTGCACACACACACACACACACACTCACACACCCACACCGTGCTCAGCGGCAGCCCGCTGCACACCACCTGCACACACACACACACACACACTCACACACCCACACCGTGCTCAGCGGCAGCCCGCTGCACACCACCTGCACACACACACACACTCACACACCCACACCGTGTCAGCGGCAGCCCGCTGCACACCACCTGCACACACACACACTCACACCCACACCGTGCTCAGCGGCAGCCCGCTGCACACCACCTGCACACACACACACACACACTCACACACCCACACCGTGCTCAGCGGCAGCCCGCTGCACACCACCTGCACACACACACACACACACACACACTACACACCCACACCGTGCTCAGCGGCAGCCGCTGCACACCACCTGCACACACACACACTCACTCACCCACACGTGCTCAGCGGCAGCCCGCTGCACACCACCTGCACACACACACACACACACACTCACACACCCACACCGTGCTCAGCGGCAGCCCGCTGCACACCACCTGCACACACACACACACACACACTCACACACCCACACCGTGCTCAGCGGCAGCCCGCTGCACACCACCTGCACACACACACACACACACACACACACACTCACACACCCACACCGTGCTCAGCGGCAGCCCGCTGCACACCACCTGCACACACACACACACTCACACACCCACACCGTGCTCAGCGGCAGCCCGCTGCACACCCCTGCACACCACACACACTCACACACCCACACCGTGCTCAGCGGCAGCCCGCTGCACACCACCTGCACACACACACACACACACACTCACACACCCACACCGTGCTCAGCGGCAGCCCGCTGCACACACCTGCACACACACACACACACACTCACACACCCACACCGTGCTCAGCGGCAGCCCGCTGCACACCCCTGCACACACACACACACACACACACACACACACACTCACACACCCACACCGTGCTCAGCGGCAGCCCGCTGCACACCACCTGCACACACACACACACTCACACACCCACACCGTGCTCAGCGGCAGCCCGCTGCACACCACCTGCACACACACACACACTCACACACCCACACCGTGCTCAGCGGCAGCCCGCTGCACACCACTGCACACACACACCACACTCACACACCCACACCGTGCTCAGCGGCAGCCCGCTGCAACACCACCTGCACACACACACACACTCACACACCCACACCGTGCTCAGCGGCAGCCCGCTGCACACCACCTGCACACACCACCACACACACACTCACACACCCACACCGTGCTCAGCGGCAGCCCGCTGCACACCACCTGCACACACACACACTCACACACCCACACCGTGCTCAGCGGCAGCCCGCTGCACACCACCTGCACACACACACACACACACTCACACACCACACGTGCTCAGCGGCAGCCCGCTGCACACCACCTGCACACACCACACACACACACTCACACACCCACACCGTGCTCAGCGGCAGCCCGCTGCACACCACCACACACACACACACTCACACACCCACACCGTGCTCAGCGGCAGCCCGCTGCACACCACCTGCACACACACACACACTCACACACCCACACCGTGCTCAGCGGCAGCCCGCTGCACACCACCTGCACACACACACACTCACACACCCACACCGTGCTCAGCGCAGCCCGCTGCACACCACCTGCACACACACACACAACACTCACACACCCACACCGTGCTCAGCGGCAGCCCGCTGCACACCACCTGCACAACACACACACACACACTCACCACACCACACCGTGCTCAGCGGCAGCCCGCTGCACACCACCTGCACACACACACACACACACTCACACACCACACCGTGCTCAGCGGCAGCCCGCTGCACACCACCTGCACACACACACACACACACTCACACCACACCGTGCTCAGCGGCAGCCCGCTGCACACCACCTGCACACACACACACTCACACCCCACACGTGCTCAGCGGCAGCCCGCTGCACACCACCTGCACACACACACACTCACACACCCACACCGTGCTCAGCGGCAGCCCGCTGCACACCACCTGCACACACACACACACACACACTCACACACCCACACCGTGCTCAGCGGCAGCCGCTGCACACACCTGCACACACACACACACACACTCACACACCACACCGTGCTCAGCGGCAGCCCGCTGCACACCACCTGCACACACACACACACTCACACACCCACACCGTGCTCAGCGGCAGCCCGCTGCACACTGCACACACACACACACACACACTCACACACCCACACCGTGCTCAGCGGCAGCCCGCTGCACACCACCTGCACACACACACACACTCACACACCCACACCGTGCTCAGCGGCAGCCGCTGCACACACCTGCACACACACACACACTCACACACCCACACCGTGCTCAGCGGCAGCCCGCTGCACACACCTGCACTCACACACACACACACACTCACACACCCACACCGTGCTCAGCGGCAGCCCGCTGCACACCACCTGCACACACACACACACACTCACACACCCACACCGTGCTCAGCGGCAGCCCGCTGCACACCTGCACACACACACACACACACACTCACACACCACCACCGTGCTCAGCGGCAGCCCGCTGCACACCACCTGCACACACACACACACACACACTCACACACCACACCGTGCTCAGCGGCAGCCGCTGCACACCACCTGCACACACACACACACTCACACACCCACACCGTGCTCAGCGGCAGCCCGCTGCACACCACCTGCACACACACACACACTCACACACCCACACCGTGCTCAGCGGCAGCCCGCTGCACACCACCTGCACACACACACACACACTCACACACCCACACCGTGCTCAGCGGCAGCCCGCTGCACACCACCTGCACACCACACACACACTCACACACCCACACGTGCTCAGCGGCAGCCCGCTGCACACCACCTGCACACACACACACACACACACTCACACACCCACACCGTGCTCAGCGGCAGCCCGCTGCACACCACCTGCACACACACACACACACACTCACACACCCACACCGTGCTCAGCGGCAGCCCGCTGCACACCACCTGCACACACACACACACACACACACACACTCACACACCCACACCGTGCTCAGCGGCAGCCCGCTGCACACCACCTGCACACAACACACACTCACACCACCCACACCGTGCTCAGCGGCAGCCCGCTGCACACCACCTGCACACACACACACACTCACACACCCACACCGTGCTCAGCGGCAGCCCGCTGCACACACACACACACACACACTCACACACCCACACCGTGCTCAGCGGCAGCCCGCTGCACACCACCTGCACACACACACACACACACACTCACACACCCCACCGTGCTCAGCGGCAGCCCGCTGCACACCACCTGCACACACACACACACACACACACACACACACACCACTCACCACACCACACCGTGCTCAGCGGCAGCCCGCTGCACACCACCTGCACACACACACACACTCACACACCCACACCGTGCTCAGCGGCAGCCCGCTGCACACCACCTGCACACACACACACACTCACACAACCCACACCGTGCTCAGCGGCAGCCCGCTGCACACCACCTGCACACACACACACACACACTCACACACCCACACGTGCTCAGCGGCAGCCCGCTGCACACCACCTGCACACAACCACACACTCACACACCCAACCGTGCTCAGCGGCAGCCCGCTGCACACCACCTGCACACACACACACACACACACTCACACACCACACCGTGCTCAGCGGCAGCCCGCTGCACACCACCTGCACACACACACACACACACACTCACACACCCACACCGTGCTCAGCGGCAGCCCGCTGCACACCACCTGCACACACACACACACTCACACACCCACACCGTGCTCAGCGGCAGCCCGCTGCACACCACCTGCACACACACACACACTCACACACCCACACCGTGCTCAGCGGCAGCCCGCTGCACACCACCTGCACACACACACACACTCACACCCACACCGTGCTCAGCGGCAGCCCGCTGCACACCACCTGCACACACACACACACACACACTCACACACCCACACCGTGCTCAGCGGCAGCCCGCTGCACACCACCTGCACACACACACACACACACTCACACACCCACACCGTGCTCAGCGGCAGCCCGCTGCACACCACCTGCACACACACACACACACACACTCACACACCCACACCGTGCTCAGCGGCAGCCCGCTGCACACCACCTGCACACACACACACACACTCACACACCCACACCGTGCTCAGCGGCAGCCCGCTGCACACCACCTGCACACACACACACACACACACTCACACACCCACACCGTGCTCAGCGGCAGCCCGCTGCACACCACCTGCACACACCACACACACTCACACACCCACACCGTGCTCAGCGGC